TTAGGCACAGTTGCCACCATAATCCTGCTGCTGTTACTATGGTAATGAGATGCCAGCTCTGTCATCAGTGCCACCGGCAGAGGGGGATATTATAGAGCATGATCCCCTCTCATCTGTCTTAGTCGAGAGAGAGAGAGAGAGAGAGAGAGAGAGAGAGAGAGAGAGAGAGCATGGAAATAGGAGGGATTGTCCTGTATTTGGGTGTGAGTGAGCCTCAGTGTGATTGTGTGTATGACTGTGGGAAAAATAAGATAATATATATGAATTAATCAGAAATCAGCAGACATTTCTATAATTAGATAAGCAGAAATGTATGCAGCTTGACATGGAGATGGTGACGTATGGATGCATGAATAGATGGACAGATGACATTAGCATACTGTAAGCTGCTGTTTGATAAATCTTTGTGTCCACTATGAATCAGTGCTTCAGGAATGATGAAAATCCAAATAATCTTCTCCCTGACATCCCATCATTTTGAATATACGTCAGCAATAAGCATCAGTTGATAAAGTACTGTAGTTTTAAAGGTTAGCCGGAGGAGCTTTACGCTATTATCCTAATAAACACATTTGAACACACTCTGCATGAAATGGTTCAATTTGATCAAATGATAACAGAATGTAATTAAGATGGAACTCGGGGAGCGGTGATTTCTGCCAAGGCCAATCCTTCTTTCAATTTTCAGTGCGTAACTTGGAGGACACAAAGAAGATGTGTTGTATTTTAATACTCAGATCCTTTGATAGGTTGCATTGGCATGTGGGGAACAATTTTATTCTCCAATTATTCCAAAACCACATGAATGCCGCACAAATGCCTCTTATAGTCTTAACAAAAGGGGAAAGACAATTACTGTATCCCCCATTCATTCAGATCAACCAATGATGACACAACCTCCTTGGTGTAGGTCATGGCTTACTGTGTGAACAGTTTCTCTCGCATACCTTTGCCCATTCTGCTTGTTGAAGGCGCACGCTAACGCCACCACCTGACCAGTCGCCCTGCTGACCACAGGGACACAAAGCATGGAGGAGATATCACAGCCCAACATGCTGGACAGCTGCCTCCGCTCCTCCTGAGAGAATGAGAGAGAACAATCAGGTTAATGCAAAGGCGAAATGTGTGAATGGATAAGTAAGAAAGAAGGACAGAAAGGAAGCGCTTCCTTACGGCACTGATGTCCTGAAGAGTGATGGACTTCTTCTTCTCGACAACCTGACCAAAGCGTCCAAACATCAGCTGGAGAGAGGAGAGAAAACGAGAGAGAGAGATAAAGCAAATGTGTGTAATGAGAGCCGGAGGCAGAAAGAAACCAGGATTGCTGAGTGAGTCCCTGGAGATATAAATAAAGCTTGTTTATTCAGAGCGAAGTCTATTACCTCCCTTGTTAAAATAGCATAATTAACCCAACAAGGGTGTGTTTCCTCGTGTCCAGATATCTCTCTGCTCCAATTACTGTTGAGATTTCACACATCATTTAGCCGGAGTACATGCTTTTTTTTCTGCATCATAATGGCAAACCCTGTTCAAAATGCTTTGTCTGCACCACAACCAGGGAAAGGGGACTGTAAGCACCCAAAGAAGCGATTACTTGTGCAAATGTCTTAATTACAACCCCTGCCAGGGATTATAAAACATTATATTTTTTAGGGGTGTCTTCCGTTGTCAGTCATAACAACCCAGGGTAACAACCATAGGTAACAACACAATGGCAACAACCCTCCCTATGACACCATCTAATGGCCTCCATGGTTTAGAAACACAAGTGAATGATTATGCCACTTACTAAATGCAGGCCTCATTTACTACACAGTGAACTAATTACACAAAATGATCAAAAAAGGCAAAAATGTAAGTAATGTGAAAAGAGGAAATGAATATATGTGAGTAATTCATTTGTTTGTTTTCTCACCGGGAAGCTGATCTCCTCCTCCAGGACTTTGTCTCCAACAACCTAAAGGTCACAGAGGTCAAAGGTCACGGTTTAATTATCTGAGTCATCATTCATTTGGCAGAGGGTATTTATTTGTGTGTGTGTGTGTGTGTGTGTGTGTGTGTGTGTGTGTGTGTGTGTGTGTACCTGGCAGAAAAGCTGGTGGTTGTCCTCGGACACCAGTAGCAAACAAGAACACTGCGACTGAGTCTTCTCCTGGAGCTGAAGGAGAACACAAACATGATCATATGGTGAATGACAGAGAAAAAATCTCTTTATCAGACTCGGAGAGATTGTTTTTAAAGCTTCAATTCAAGGTGTTTTGGAATATAGTCAACGTGTGAAGATAAGATTAGAAAGCAGTAGATAGTGGGAAATAATTGGGGGTAAGGTGCTGAAAGGGTGTATTATCTTATTTTAAATCTCTAACATTAAAACCTTAAATACATTTGACTTTTATTTAAAGAATGCATTCAACTGGGAAATAAAAAATATTGCGCATTTGTCCACATTATTATATGTTATGCAAGTCACAGGGGGAACGTACGTCATCATACATTTGCTGAATCAGTTTTCACTGCATTTTGTTGCATTTTGCATATATGTTATGAAACTTTTTGGCAATTCGTCAAGCTTTTTCTGTGTTTCTTTTTCAGAATGCATGCATAAAAAGAGGTGGATATCGGTCATAGATATCTGTGAGTCTAAATGTAGAAGTGTGTGTGCGCTCAGTATCTCTGCTGCTGCTGTGCTCTGTAATGTCCGCAGAACAAACTTCCTGTTGCTGTCTGTGATGAGAAACATTTAATTCATAGACTGAAAAACACTCATGATGACGCAAAAATAATGCAGGTACATAAGCATGTACATGATCACACCCAACACACACACCCAAAGTCACAAGAGCAGTGTTTCCTTATCATTCTTCTCCGTAATCCACAGAGCGGGATAGAGAACAAGCAGGAAAGACATATACACCAGTCACTGCCAACACACTCGCCCCCGGCACACACACTAAAGTGAAATAACACGCAATCACAAACATAAACACAAAAGCAAGTTGCTGCACCCACATATAATAAACCCCTCCACCCTCTTCCTTCCCAAATACAGTTAATTCCATGAGAGTCGCCCCAAGCTCTTCCCAACAAACTGACAATTCCTAAGTAGCAACAATCTCCCGCTTCCTTTCCTCCCTCCCTCTCCCCTTACCCCTCTTTACAAATGTAACAATAAACAGGCGAAACAAATCATGTCAGATCCAAAATACATTATAAAACCCCTGCAGTCTTTTGCACCACCAGAACTTCTCCCTCTCCCTTCCTTCAGATGCAGGAAAAATACTACAAATTCAGGTTTGGAGGCATCAAAGACTAACACTTTAAATGCAGGCGGCATGGCTGCTGCAGTGTTTTTCTGTCCCGTGAATCCAGTCCTGCGGCGCCAAGGTAGCAGGGAAGGTCAGGAAGGCGATAACTGTTTAGACTTTACCTTTCCACAGAAAAATACCTTCAATTTTCTTTTAAAGGAACACATTACTTTAAAACCATTTCAATAATTTCTCAACAGTTCTGACGTTACGGTCACTGCAGTAAACAGCAAATGAGTTCCTCATATACATATATATATATATATATATATATATATAAAATTACAACATAATGAGAAAAAAGCTGACAAAATAACTTCTAAAAATGCTGAAGTTGCTAATTGTATTTATACATTATGATAAACATAATGTTCTAACATAATAACAATAATTCAAAAACTGCAATTACAAAGCAAATACTTCAGATTACTATAATTTGGCCATATCACTGTTTACAGTCCGACAAGCAACGTCAGACGCAAGAATAAGTTGGAGTTAAGAGGCAATGTCTACGACCTGATTGTATCACAAGACACCAGTTTACCCTCAGTTAAGAGTATTTGTTATTTAAAACAAGTTAAAACGATCTGAGACGATAGCCAACGGGTTCAGAGATGCTCTTTTGCTCTTCACACGGACCATTTACCCACATTTAACCAAAATCAGTTCAAATGTTGCAATTAGATCTGCATATATTTTGAATACCTAAATCTAAAGAAATAGACCTTCTTGACATAACGTATAGATGAGGGCTGCAAGGGACGATTGCTTCCAGACTAATCAATGAATCATTTGGTCTTTAAAAAATCTTTATATAGTCAATTCATCTGTAGTCAAAAACATCCTTTTCAATTTGCATATTTTGACCAAAACCAAAAATATTAAGTTTTATAACACACAACACAAAGAAAAGAAGCAAATTCTCACTCAAACAAATGAATATAAAGCACTTGATATTTGAAGTGGACATAAACTCTGACTCTTAACATTTTTCTTTAAAAAATTAAATCAAAACAAGTCCTCCATGCTAAACAAGTAGCACACAAATGTTCACAAGAATATGGGTGCAGCCGGCAAGGCTCGTTGAAGCCCAGTTAGAGAATCTGTGTCCCTTTGGCGCAGTATAACCTTCAAATCCCTCTCTGCTCTTCCTTCACCATCTCATGTTTTCTTTATCAGTGAATAATTCCATACATTTAAATTGTTGCCAGGTTCCTAAACAGACTGTAACTGATAGCTCCTTCTCCACCTTTCTATGGAGATGGGGCAATACTTTGGGGTACTGATGAAGCGATTGTGTAATACAAATCTTAAGGTATAGGTAAATGTCAAGATGAGGAGAAAAAGTGACTCGGACAGGTTTAATGTTTTGCATGTACTGTACGTCTCTAACTGTGTGTCAGTGTGTGTGCGTGAGGGAGCATATGAAAGATCTTGAGCACTTACATAATTGATGACTTTGAGCTGGAGTGAGGCTGCATCAAGGTCAAAGAGCTCACCTGAAAGTGGAAAGGGAGAAGAGAGAGATGGATGGGAGTACAAAAAAAAAGAGACACAAGGTCAGATAGGCGTTAAGGAAGACAGGGGGAATGCAGAGCATGTACGCGAGTGGACAGAAAGCAATCCGGGGAGGGATGCATTGAGACGGGGAGGTCGGGGAAGGGTGAAAGGAAACCAGCCAACAGAGGGACTAATAATGAAGACAAGACAGGAGATAGAGGGCTGCCCGGACTGCAGATTAATTCAGAAAGAAAGAGCTAGACAGGGAAGCAGGAAGGGGAGGCTGAGGCTGAGGAAGGTAAAGACAACTTATAATTGTAGACAATTACCATGGAGTAAACAACATTGTGTATGTGCACAGGAACAACTTCCATTATGCATGAGATTGTAAACAGTGTTTTTGCCAAGCGTTCCGTTTTCACACAGGAGCTGTCAAACACGCTGCGTGCCAATGACGGAGTCCATCTAAATGCATAACGCTTTCTATCCAGGCTTTCTCTATTAACATACTTCACCTCACACATACAAGTGTGTGTGTTTGTGTGTGTGTGTGTGTGTGTGTGTGTGTGTGTGTGTGTGTGTGTGTGTGTGTGTGTGTGTGTGTGTGTGTGTGTAATTGTGTGCCTCACAGATTAGTGTTGTAATATACAAGGCGCAGGAAATGTAAGATGCATGAGAGAAAGTGAATAAGGAGGTAATTTAATAGGCATTTATGTATGTTATTAACAATTTGTGTGTGTGTGTGTGTGTGTGTGTGTGTGTGTGTGTGTGTGTGTGTGTGTGTGTGTGTGTGTGTGTGTGTGTGTGTGTGTGTGCGTGTGCATACCACAGAGTTGGAGAATGTTGCGGTCCAGTTCGCTGTAGTCTTGGTCTGAGACGCTGAGGTGCAGCAGTGCATTGTGGGACTGTAACAGAGAGGGGCTGAGGGGAGGCTTCTGGTGGGACTTATGAATGGCCTGGACTCGCGCACACGCCACTGAGGCCTGTGACATCATTCACAAATAAAGGAACACACGGAGAAAAGTGAGTTAAGGTCAAGAAACATTTCAGAGAGAAAATCATCGGACTAATACTGTTTGATTGTTAAAACTGGTAATCCAGAACATTTAACATGAATGGAAAGGCCATTAAAGTAAAGATAACAAAATCAATACTGAGTCTGAATGCGATTGATTGTCATTGATTTGTCCTTAAATGAAATAAGGTCTATTTTGACATTACCTCTTTTAAGAAAGGGACAAGGACTTCTCAAAACTCATAGCATCGGGGCTAATTATATAGTTATTTATTAAAAGAGAGTTTTGCAGCTTTTACATTCTGTAAGCAGTTCACTTCCTAAATTATTTCATTGGTTTCATGACTTGCTTTTAATATAACCTTTAAAGGATGTGTCCAACGCTTATTGGATAATCAACTGAGATTACACCTTGTCATAGGCTGTATGTTAACTCCTGATAAAGGCTTTATAACACACATCAAGTTAGCTACTGTTACCAAGGTGCTGTTGCATATTAGTGACCGCAGAGAGGAATAAAGAGAGCTTACGTGTTTCTCCAGCATGTTGAGATGCAGTTCATCCTGATCAGATAGTGGATTACAGCCCACCTGCAAAACACAGACGTTTCAGTATGAGCAGGACTCTTCATTTGAGTTCATTTCATTTGCAAATGTTACATAAGACCAAAAAAATACATCTACAGTATGTGCTGCAAAAGTTAATATCCACTTTTCGTAAAGGAGGAGGTGATGACGTAAGCAATGACGATTGCTTTTGTTACTTTGGTTTATTCAGTTATTGCATTGTATATCCATGAATGCGAGGACTCACCAGTAAGACAGTGATGGCCTTGTCCCGCTCCTGGTTCAGGAGAGGAATGACAACGGCTAAAAAGAAGAAGAAATAAAAAAGCATTCATAAAACATCATTTATTGCTTCAGACAAAACCCATCCTTGGCCTAACTTGGTCTTAACGTTATTATCTATTTCACGGAAGAAAAAAAAAACCCTAATGTCCTTGCATAACGTCTCTTAATATTTTTGCTTTCTTTTCTATCATTTGTTATTCTTAATGTAGAGCAAATAGCAGCAGCAGTTCCTTATGGACAAAAAACATTTTATCTTGGACGTGGGAGTTGCAGAAAATGTGGACAGTGTCAAACAGAATAATGTGTTTACCACATTTGTCCCAAAAACTTTTTCTTTCTGCACAATCATTAGAAGTTTCAATGTATTTATCGATCCACAGAGTGCAGAGCGGTCATGCTTGTGTACTTTGGGATGTCTCCGTGATTACATTCCTCCAGGTCATTCTCTAATTTCTGTTTTGAGATCAAAACAAGACATTTCCAATTTAAGAGGAATGTTCACTCTTTTCATTTCACTCAATTCGAGCGCTTGCATTTTTTGTCATTAGCGACCTTTCATTGCTTTATTTTTTTTGCCCACACAACTCCATACCTATCCCTCTGCAATCATCATCTCTTGTTCACTACTTCTCCCTCTCTATAGTTTTTTCTCCCACACTCTCACATCTCTCTGTGCCTCCGCAACCTTAAACAAGTACACACACACACAGTAGTAAGCTGAACCCTGACACACACACACACACACACGCACGCACGCGCGTGCACACACACACACACACACACACACACACACACACACACACACACACACACACACACACACACACACACACACACACACACACACACACAGCAGTCACTCCATTACAGTCTGAAATCCCTTCAAACCATTGCAGCCAAATCTCTGCGTGGCGCATTGATTTTAAAGTGTCCATTTATTTCAGCTCACAGAAACAGCCCACTTAGTCTTCGTGGTTGCTCTGGTGCCGACCTTTTTGTAATGTCTTTGTTCCAAGTTGCTTTTCTGCATAACCATGAGACAAATGAATATCTGGTACAGCAAAGAGCAAAAATCCCAGCCTCGGGCGCTAGGATTTAGCTTTCTCTGTGCACATATGACAAACCTATTAGATATGTATGAGTGTGGTGTATGGAGATAGCTGTAAGGTCAACTAAAGCTTCACACATCTGCTAGAAGCAGTAAGCAGCAACAATAGCTCAAATGGAATAACATATAGGTCAAATCTGGCGTGGTGGGCGGTCTGTTTACAACATAAGTTGGCCCGTCAGATGCAGTAAATGTGGATGTGTAGGTGTTTATTTGGCACACACAATGAGCTAACGATTAATTGATCTGGTTATGCTAATGACTTTGAGTTACTGCCTGAACCTCCGCTCCATTTGTCCTAATTGCTAAAGCATCATTGAGGAACACTTTGCTCAATTGTTTTAGTGCAGTAAAGGTATTGCATTGTTGCTTTTTTCTCTATAAGGACAAAGAACAAGATCAAAATGGTAAACAAAACTTGAATTGATTCCTCTCTCCAAGAAGGAGCTCCACTGCTGGTCTGCGTGTTCGTCCATTTGTTGATCATTTGGGTATTTTACACAACTCTGAGGGGGAAAGCTGCAATACTGCAGTAATGGTGCAAATATGCTGTACAGCGTGTGAATAGCCCTTTAGCAAAACAGATGGAAAATAAAACTAACCTGATATTGAAGATGCATCTCTGTGTTCTGTATGTTTTAGACCTTCGACAGTGAGTTTTCCTCTGCAATATTTTGAACAATAGCTTGGCCGAGTAGCAGGGCCGGCTCTAGACAATTCGCAGCCCTAGGCGAGATTTGAGTTGGCGCCCCAGCCAGAGAATCGTACAATAGAAAAGATAAAGATGAATAGAGTATCCAAGGAATACACAATAGAATGGGGGGTGGGATCGCGCGAAATTCTCTCTGCAGATCCATTCTCACAGTGTTTATCAACCTATAAACCTTTTTCTTACTCAATATCAAGCCACACTTATTGTTTTTATTTCGGCTGTGACTTTGTGTGTGTTCAGGTTGAGTTTGGCTGTGTTTGGCTGTGTATCGCTAAACAAGGAAATCACGGAGGGGCGGGGGGGGGGGGAGGGAGGAGCTGCAGTGAGCCGTTTAGTGGAGAAAGTGAATACTGCTGAATACACATACTTTACAGAGATGCTGTATGCGAAACCAATGTGATTTTGGAAAATTGAACAGTATTTTTCTATTTTAGTATACCTCAACAATGGAATTATGATCAGTGGAAATGGCCATGACATGTGACCTTTAAAGTAAAATGCTTCAATCTGGTGCACTTTAAGCAGAATTAATACTAGATCTAGGGGGTACAACTCTAAACACCCATATGAAAAAGATTGGTTTACATTTTATTAATCAAATAAGTATGTGAACATAACCAATAACCTACCATAGCCAATAACAAATAAATGTAACTTATTTTATTTTTGTTGTTCATTCATATCTTATTTGACCTATTAACATTTATTTATTCGTGCATTTTTTTGTATCTCTCCAGTTTAAAACAATATTTTTGGTTTACTGTCCTATAGTATACATTGAAATGATTTCAAACCTGTTTTATCCCAATAATTATAAAGGAGTGCCTTGGAAATATTTGTTTACATAAATTGTGACCAAACCGTTTGAGACCCACTGAGATAACTTAGACTAAAGTGAACTATCTAAACACTCGGAGTCCTTTACCTCACTGAGCTGTAGTTATCAGCCTCTCAGTCTGACTGGAGAGGACTCTCCCTCCACATTATTGTAGAAACGTCTTCTTCTAATATCCGTTAGAGCAGCTAGCACCAGATTCTAATAACAACAGCGCCGGTACCGGTCAAGTACCGGTGCACCCTCCCTCTCTCCCTCATTCGCTCCCAAGCTCACTCGCACTTTGGCTGTGAGCTGCGGGCGCCAGATAAGCCAACATCCCCCATTTTCATCACTTACAGCGCCCATTATACAGGGCAAATGAAAAGTGTAACCGGGGTCAAAAAAGGGTGTTACATTTACTTAATTATGAATGTTGTTACATCAAGGCCGAAAACTAGGATGAGCACCAACGGTCAAAAATGTTTTTCTACCAGCGCAGCGCCTCCCCAGATCTGGCGCCTTAGGCGAAAATCTATAACGCCAGTGCTACGGGCCGGCCCTGGCCTGTGGGATGAAACTGTCCCTGAGTCTGGTGGTTTTAGTCCGGATGCTGAGGTAAAATAAGATAAGATGGCACTTTATTGATCCTAATTTGGGAAATTGTTTTTGTTGCAGCAGCATAAAAGACAAGGCATTTTACAATAACACAAAACTACAAATAAACAAGAATAGAAAGAAAAGAAAATGTATATAATATATATCTCTAATATATATAAAATGTACAGCAAGGTTTTATTCCAAGAGAAACTATGAAGCAGAGAGTTCTCTTCCAGCCAGAGGTGATTTATTGTACAGAGTTACTGCAGTGTGCATGAATGTGTTCCTGTGTCGGTCCTTGTCAGCGGTCTGTTGTAGAAGAAAAAATAAAAATATACTGCCGTTTCTGGTTTAGTTTACGATGGATATATTCTGTTATTGTTTTGATATTTGTAACCCAAAAGCGATGGAAAAAACCCACAGCAACACAGAAAATATGGTCTTAAGTTGACCCAGCGGTCTAGTAGTTAATAAAAAACAATAATGTCAAAACAAATATTACTACTAACTTTATTGTGAAATTAAAACAGAACGGTAAAAGAAGTTTCCGGTCTATTCTGAGGCCAGATCTCTGTCTATAAATAAAGAACTACGACAGATGTGTAATATTTAATGCAGCCGAACCATTTATTACAATGCATTCATGTGATGACTTTCAAAGAGTAAAGCAAGCACTGCTGAATAAAGTATGATTTTATCTTTTACGAAACGTTTTTTTTCATATAGAATGCAGTTGGAGGTCAACCAATCACAATTTCAACCAATCAATGTTGTGTAATTAACAAGGATAATCTGGTGTTTTTTAGTCGATGAGAAGTGCA